ATGATAACGAGAACACCACTTTACTCTTATCGTCTTGAAATAAATACGGATGTGCGAGTAAATATAATTTAATTTGACTCAGAAAGATCTCGGCTTGAGCGCCTCAAACACCTCCAAATTTATCGGGCGTCGACACCTTAGGCCCTTTAGGGTTGGGTGCAATCTCGGCATGAACATGCGTGGTAGTCGCAGCTGGTGCAGGTGCAGGTTGAGAGCTCTGTTGGTGCTGAGCCATCATCTCAGCCAGGCGGTTCTTGGCATCTCGCGATCGAGCTTCAGCTTGCTCGCGCAAGGCACGTTTGTTGTTTAGAGAGTTCAAGAGTTCATTAAGCTGACGCTGTATGTCCTCCATAGCCTGTGGCAGTTCAGATGATTGAGTAAGGTCTAGATCGGGGTTGAGTTGGTGATCTGCGTCAACAAACAAAGGTGTAGTTTCGGAATCCAAATCAACTTCGTCGTGGTGCGGGGTTCTGTACGAAGGTGACGTGGTGGCGGTTTACAACTAAGCTACACAGTTCAATCAGTTCAATAAGGTTTTGTGGTTCAATTCGAGATGGCTGTAAGTTTGGGTTCGTAGTTCAATTGATCTATTTGGTTTCAGTTCTAATTCTAAAGTTAATTCTAAATCAAAATCTTAATCTAAATCTTCTTCTTTTCGGTTTTCGATTTGGTTCGCTTTCCTTGATTCCTCGTTTATGGATCCGACAATATGTTAAGGTCTGATCTCGGGGTGAGAGGTTTCTTAAGTGGGAATGAAGGAAGGTGACACCACACAATCTAGGTTGTTATTGAGATTGTCGGATAAGAGAAGAAGCTCTACAAGTGACGTAATACAAGTTATAAATATGTATCTTCTGTGACATACAACTTCTCTTTCACACATGTTACATAGGTGAGATTGTAACATCCAACTGCATACGTGTTATCTTCATATTGAAGGTCCCCAGCTCTATCTGCGAAGAATCTAGCGTCCGCTTCTACTTTTGGTTGGAGGCCATTCGGGAGACGTAACTTGTCTTTATACACCGTCTTTCCGTTTTTTTTTTGTCTTGACCACTTTCTGTCTCCTAAAAATGACAGTTCTAATCGCCAAATGGTATCTCAAACCGACCATCCAACAAAGATACTTCTTTTTCAAGTCTGAAACTATTTGTTTATGTTTCATGATGTAGTCCGCATAGCCATCGAGGTGATAAATCTCTCTAGCATATCTTTCTTCTAGGTCACACATCTCAACGAAATCTCCGAAAGTAATTTGTTTTTCTTGAGCTCTTTGTGAGTTTCTCCCCTTCTCCTTCTTATCTTTTGCCTTTTCCTCCTCTTCTTTGTCATGATAAGCTTCAAGGTAGGATTTCTTAAAAACTGATAAAGGAACATAAGCTCTAAGTCGTTTGAAACCTTTGTCCCACTTCCGTGGCAAGTCTGGTAAATCGGCTGAATAGAAATCAAACAGTTTGCACTCTAGCACAGCCTTCTTCGCTCTCTCCGATTTGTCTGAGGAGCTAGACTCTTCCAAGGAGGACAACTTGTTCAAATCCGAGTCTGAAGGTTCCTCTGAAGGACTTGGTGACTCCTTTCTCTTTGACTTAGAACGTTTTTGTCTTCTCTTCTTCGACTTAGAATCATCAGAGTCACTACTCGATGAGTCGTCACTCGGTAAGTCTTTGCGTTTCAACTTCGACTTCTTCCGTTTCTTTTTGGCCTTTGAAACATCAGACTCTGTGGATGAGGGGTCACCGTCCAATTCTGTAACGATGTTTCTAACTTCTTTCTTCTCTTTCACCGTCTCCGCTTTGTCTTCTCTCTCCTTAGGATGTTGAGCAACTTTTGGTTTGGCTCCGGAGATTGCTTCTAGAAGTTCTAAGGATTCAGCCACGGATGAATGGCCTATGAGTGTCTTCCCAGAAGACCTAGTATCTGCCGCCGGTTCTATCACTTGGGTCAACCCTCCTTTGGAGCTTGGAGGATCACATTGCATTGATACAATCGAGCCAAAGGACGCATTGAATCTTTCCATCGCCTCTCTTGCCGCTGGACCATTCCTCTTGTCTAACACATTTGTCAAGGCTTCAAGTATTGCTTGGCTTTCTGAGGATGGTTGATTTGATACCAAGTTGGTTTGGGCTTGATCTGATGAGGATTGTCCTGGATCTGCTCTGAAGAACCCTTGAAGAGCTGTAAAAACCCAAATTTGCGTAACAAAAACAATTTGTAAGCAAATTGTTGTTCAATCCTCTTCCTTAGACAACATTTGAGATTGATAGACTTCTCGTCTCTTTTGCCCTCCGGCAGATGAACACCTATGGAATAAAGTCTTCCTTGTCTAATAACGTGGCGTTCTAGGTCGATCGACCCATCAAACTTTTACGACCCCCTTTCCTCCAGCCTGTCGGCTTGGGCTGTTTTCAAGGGTTCCCGGCGTCATTTGTTCTGTGCGCATTAAGCAGCAACTACGAGGTACTCAGCCTTATCTCAGCCTCTTCTCTCATCTTCAACAGGCGCATCCACTAGCAGCCCTTGACTCTTAGAGAACTCATGATGACTTACAGCGCTCCCTAGCAGCTTGCATCTGGAACACTTCAACTCACATTTCATCTAAAGGCGCCTACGGCTGCCAAAATGCTTCAACATTGAAAGTGGTTGAAAACAATCTCTTCACACTACACAAAATGTCATCTTTACCGGGCGGTAAAGAAAACTACTGACATAGAAAAGTCCTGAGGCAACAGGAAGAGAGCTGAAAATCTGAAAAAATATGCACCTTGTTCCTAGATGTTGGGGCATCATGACGAGTATTTTTTTGTATTTTACACACAGATATTGGTTAATGTACTAACAATAAAGGCTGAGAATCATCAAAAACCCACCTGTAACAATACCTGAAATTTGGCCCTTGACTTTGAAGACAGGATTTTGGAATCTTCAAACATCAATAACGTTTGCAGTTCTGAATCAAATCACTCAATTTAAAGTGAATTAAAAAGGTGAGCCTTTCCTCTACATTTTTCATTGAGACATCACATCTGTAGCTGGTCTAAAAAAGATCCTACAGAGCTATTCATGCAGAACTGTTTGAACATATGTAGAGTGTTCAAATGACTATATAGCACCTTACTAACATTATGAAGTGTGAAGGAGAATAGTTCAGCTGTTGAATGGACCAAAAATCGAGTTATTTGGAGCAGAATTGCAAAAGTTATTGAAGTTTTTAGACCACAAAATATTGTCTTCATACTCATGACCCATATTTCAGGTATTGTTACATGTGAGTTTTTGATGATTTTCAGCGTTTATTGTTAGTACATAAACCAATATCTGTGTGTAAGATTCAAAAAAATACTCATCATGACACCCCAACATCTAGGAACAAGGTGCATATTGTTTCGGATTTTTAGCTCTCTTCCTGTTGCCTCAGGACTTTTCTATGTCAGTAGTTTTCTTTACTGCTTGGTAAAGATTACATTTGGTGTAGTGTCATGTGGAGACGATAACAAAAGAAGCAAGAAGGAAAATTAGAAGGTAAAGCACTTGGTACACACCATCAACCGGTAACGCATCACTAGGCAATCCTCCTACTCCTTCTTCTAGGCTTTTCCCTTTCCTAGAACTTTCTTGCTGAAGTTTCTCCCGTTCTCTCCATCTCTCCATCTTCTCCAGCTCTCTCTTCCTGAGCTCCGCAGGTTTTACATCTGCTGTATCTGAGTCCGTGTCTCCACTCGCATTGTTGTCGCTACCTTTCTCCAGTTTGGGATCTTCACCACCCTCTCGAATCACCTGATCTACTTCTTGATCCTTTGATTTTGGTAAGCGAGATTCTGCCCTTTTCTGACGCTCTTCTGCTTGATCCTTCTCTCTGGCTGATCTTGCTCCTTTCTTCCCTTCTTCTTGTTTAATATTTGTCACCATCTTGTTACATTGAATTCTCTTGAATACTAACGTTTCTAGTTGACTTTTATTCATTCAAATTTTAATCTTCTTATTTTCTTGTTGTAATGATGAAAGTGAAATTCAATTTCAAGCTTAGATATATCTATCTGAGTGAAGATTATATATTTAAAGAAAAAGAAAGACTATAAATAGTAGAAATTACTATTTATAAGAAAATGGGAAAGAAGTGTCGAGGGTAGAGCAGACTGGTGAATCAGGTGTTCTAGATGAAAAACTTTTTCCATCTAGTTCAACCTGAACGCCACAACTTTTTGTGGTCACCGGACCCGAAACAGAATCGGGTCCTCGCTCTACCCGACACTTGACATGCCCTGTGTAATGGACTTGATATTACCGTCGCAGGCTTGAGGGTAATCTCTCATTTAAACACTGCCAATTGCTACATGTTAAAGCTGCAAAGCAGCGCAGCAGACTCTTTCTGATATGTTTTTTAAGGTTTCCCAAGAAGTCAATTTTTTGTTTTGTACAATCTTTGTCATAACCCATATTTTGTCTGCAAATATATAATTATGGCTTTTGATAGAGATTGAGGTAACCTATACTCTAGCAAAACCCATACTTTTGGGCAACATTTTTTGGGTATGGGTTATGTCAGAGATGACTGTAGGTTGTAAGTAATCAAGCCAATCTGCGAGATTTGAAGCGTTACCAAAGTCATAAGCTTCAGCTTTGGAAATTGTCAAGGACGATGAACGTGTTCATAATTAAATTTTAATCGTTGTAGCCTAGACACTCCGAGCCGTTTTTGCAGGCCAGAGCACTCTATACGAGACCTCAAATTTTCATCATGATTCGGAGCTTGTGGTTCGGATGTCAAGGTTCGAGTGTGCTGCTTTTAGCGTCGCCACCAGCCAAGTTGCGACTATACTACAGTTATGATCACCGGGCGAGATTCGCCACACCATTCATAGTTCTCTGGCCATCTTTCTCTAGATTGTCACTCAACTGGCGCAAACGTATAGAGCTATATTATCAGAGATTGGTATATTCAAGCACGAACGTTGAGCAGGGTGGTTTTGAACCTCAAAGATACATCAGTTATATATTATATTATGAACATTATCTTTTTGGTTTGGTTGATTGCAGATTTAGCCAGCTACTCAAGATCCGGACCATTAAGATTCTCATCTTCCAACCAATTTAGATCTCTCTCCATTGCACCGTGCGATCGTGATCTTTCAGTCAAGGGCGCCGAGACCAATTACGAGGCCTATCAGGTAAGACAGGTCGTATCGAAAAAAAATAGTTATGGAAAGAAGCTTGAGATAAAGAATAAAGAATTCAGATTTTGATGTTATTCCTCATACAATCAGTATAAGACGCCCAATGAAACGATGAGTCAAATCCTTCCGGAATCATCACGGGTATGTGTCTTTTCCCAAATAATCATATTCCAGGCCATCGTCATCCAGAGAGGAAGTGTTGACTGTGATTTACCTTGTATCGGATGTTCTATCAGCTTCCGGACTCATCTGGACAAGGAATGAAGGAATCGATATTCCAACGCGTAAATAAATATGGCGAACTTCAATCTTCACCCGTGAGTAGATCATAGAATCAAACTGACATAGAGAAAACAAATATTCAAAGATTTTGAAAACATGAAGATCGGAAGCAGGTCTTCTAGAGAGAAAGGGACAGAAGAGCTCGGTGATACTAACGATGCCTCAAGCGAAATATTCATGTGAGTTATCTCAAATACTACAGGATGAGAAAATGCAATCATACTCATCTGGGGAAAAATCATTGGTGACATCTCAGAAATCTAAGGGGTGAAATAAATGATGTAGATAGGTATCTCGACCGGATGCGACATCCACCATATAGGTTAGTAATTTCAAGCAGCTACCACTTAAATGTTTATGGTATTGCATCGTATCAAGACTTCGATTGAGATTTCATAGTGAAGAAGGAAGAGAAAGCTAACATACATCAATTCTTATTTACAGCACAGAAATAAGACAGAACAAGAAAGTATCCAGTACTAGCAAGACCAGAGTATTGAAGAGAACCTTGCAACCCCGTCGATTAGTTCAGACTAAAAACAAATTGACACAGGATCCTATTCTGAATAACAAAACTGTTTCGGTAGTGTCTTCTGTCCAAGAGGCTGTGAGGACCATCGAATCTAGCATGAATCGATTTGATGAGATTGCAAAGAATTTCATAGTAAGTCTTAAGGGCAGAAAATCTATTGTATTCTTTTGCATCTGAATTTGTAATTTGAAATACTCATATCAACTCACGTCCCACAGAATCCAAAAGTATCTGCAGCGACCTTGAAGAAAGCCGCAGACGAGGGACTTGTGATAGAAACAGGCGAAGGTTTCCCAAGACAGGTAGTAAGTCTTACATGGTTTTGCAGAAAATGAAAGGATTGGGTAACAAATTGTTCATTTGACAAAACTTTAGTTGGCTAGTGCGACTAGTAATCCGGAAGCAGCACAAAGGGCGTTGGCCGTGATACGAGACGAAGTACCAAAGATCATGTAAGCATCTAGCCTTCAAAGTGTATAATCACAGAAAATTGTCAAAGATGGCTGATGATCGTTCCTTCAGTGATTGTTTGAGGGAAGTTTCAAAATTACCAAAAGACCCTTCGGTCCTTGTAGAAGTCTTCAAAATTGTGATAAATGCAAGGTCGGAAATTTTAACTTGTAGCAATTATATCATTAGCTAAAAGATTAAAAAGATTGAGAAACTGATGTAGTTTATTTGAATTATTTGAACATTCGAAAAAACAAACGATGACCACAGAGCTAAGATCGTCCTTGCAAATAAAAACCTTATAGGTGGAATAGTCGGAGGGGATAAAAAGCTCATCTCTACACGGCTGTTTAGCCCAAGCTTAACTGCCATTGGAAACAAATTGAACTTGGAGCAAAGGACAGCCGTAGATCAATCTAAGAAGGAACTCGACGCGAAGACTCGTTCAATTGATACACAAATGTTAATTCTTCAAAACCAGGCTTCTACTCCAAAAAGATTGAAAGTGGCAGCGACATCAGCATTGGCTTTAGTAAGTAATTCTTTGCACAAACTTCTCTCGGTTTTCAAATTGTTTCGAATCTAGGCTAAAGAAGCTATGAATGCTGGTCTAAACCTCATCTTTTATATTTATAGGAAGCAGAACAAATCTTTCACAGGGAAGTTTTGGTGAGTGCAGCCTCTGATAGCAAGGCAGCTGTCTCAGCATTACTTGAAGTAGCAGAAAATGGGCCCAAAGTAATGTGAGAATGACTATTCCTTTGAAAGTGTGAGACTTGCAAAAAGACTTATCAAAGCCTTTATCATTACAGTTCTGGGTTGATCAATATCATTAGGAATAGTGATGATGAAACAAAAGTCAAGACAAGTCTTCAGTCAATCATTGAAGGCCATACCAAAGTTGTAGCAGGTTAGTTCAATTTGATACTCTGGGTCAAATTTCTGATTTAAGGAATCAAAGATTGTTGATTTTTATTTATTCCCTCTGCGATATATAAATAGCTACTTTGAAGCTAATCCAGTTAACATCAAATAGCAGTACAAATCTAGTAGCCACTGAAAAAGAATTCAAGAAGGCGAATGTCACATTAGACAAGACTCCATTGTTAGACTCAAAGACCCATGACAATCATGTGGAAGTTGTGAATCAAGATGATAAGACAAATCAGAAAGAATCCAAACCAGTTACTGCACAGAATCATCAACATTCAATACCAATTCAGGATAACAATCTTTCTCAACCTGCAAATGCTACATCAAAAGATCTTGTTCACCTTTTGGATTCTGAATTAACAGAACTCATTAGCAATGGCACATCTACAAAAGCACATTCTTCAGTGCTTACAATACCAAAATCAGCTTAAGATGGCAAGACAGTTCCTAAAAGACAACACTTGTTTGTGGTAAGACATCTTTTGGTCTTTCTAGCTCTCTAACATCAGTGGGGTTCTAAAGAAGATGAAGAATTTGATTGAGAACTGTTGTTGAGTGGTATTTTCTATTTATTTATCTGTATTAGTGAATTCAATGCTGTGTCAATATATTTAAGTAAAATGTAAAACAAAGAATGCTTGATTCCAAAATCTGATAAATGATAAAATCCATGTTTGATCCTTGATTGTGTTTCAATTCTTTCATTGGCAAATAGACAATGCATTATTTTTAAAACCATCCTACATAAAATGCATGTTGGAGGTATAATGATGTATACTAGCATTTCATGAATAACATATCCAGAGGGTGGAATACCTTTGCCACAAGGTGAAGTGGAAAAAAATGGAGCTCACCCATTAAACAATCATGATCCTTTTAAAGCAGGGTAGCACATGAGGACATGCTTAGTTAAGCTTTTAAATCTCCCTCCACTCAATTTTCAACATTTTCCGTGAGCTTGTAAGCTTTTCTTGTAAAACTACATTCTTGAAAAGTTGATCCAACACAATCAGCCACTATATGGGACCCAAAGATGCCACCTTGAAAGACAGCTGTGGTGAATCCACCATCATTGAGCTTGATGTGGATAATGAAGAATATCTGCCTGGATGGGCTTAAACTCTGCTGTTTCAAAATTTGCCCAATGGTGTTCAGGAAAGGATCTATTGCCATTCCACAATGACTCTCAGCACAGCAAAAAGAAAGGTTAGATCATACAATGATAGCAATTTTGAAGAAATCTCCACACAAGCTCAAGGTAACAGATCAGCTTTCATGATCCTTGCTTGAGATCAAAGTGCTACCCCAAGATCTTTTGTTTTGTTAGCTTGCAAGAAAAAAGTGAACACTTTCAGTTCTTACAAAGTCACACTGACCTAAATCTTGTACAGTCCCCTCAAAGTGATTTACATGATCATTCAAGTTCTGCAGCAGCGGGCCCAGGGTTTGTTGACTTCCAAGCCCAATGATTATGACTCCTGGTTGTGGGGATGTGTACACACAACTCAGAATTAATCCACTGGAAGCTTTGAATCCAAAAGCTCCCTGTGCTGTGAAGGAAGAGTTACAAAATAGATCCTTCCATCAAAATCTTTGGGGTGAATTGCAAAGGGCTTGCTTTGACGACTACAAGGGATACACACTTGTGATAAGTTAGACTGCAGGCTATTGCAATCTGTTGCAATGGTTTCATGGAATTGCACCAGCAAGAAGAACATAAATTGGACAGAGTGGCAGATGTATCAATTAATCAGAAGCCCCCACTTCAAAGGATCAGAATAATGAAGTATGTATTTTTTTACTTTCTCTGTTTTTCAACAGTCTAAATTTTCAGGAAAGCAGATATCAAGGACATCATAATAAAGATTGATCAGAATGACATAAATGTATGAAAATCATTCAACTTATGATCTTCACAATGAAAAAGTTCATCTCTATTACTTCCTCAATTTACTTTGAATAAATTTCAAATCCAACCATTGTTTTCAAAACCATGCCATCTATCAGACAAATGTAAGAATACAAATCAAGAAGATAACCCTGCCAAACTCAATATTGATCAAAAGACCAAAAACCCAATACTGTGATGATATTGGATACTATCCAACATGTATATAGCCATTGCTAGTATTGATGATCTTTACAAGCCTAAAAAGACAATATCAACAAACAAGATTGGAATGAAAAGATGTATAAATCAATCCAACAGAGTTTGTATACAGTAAAAAAATCAAACTAATCCACAACAATTGATAGTGATGTGGTTTTACACTGATGGTGAGAAAAAGTATCACAAAAAGGTAATATAAATGAATGGGGTCAGACAAATGGTAGATGACAAATAAACAAAATCAGACGAACTTACTTCTATTCACTACTGTTACTACGTCACATAAATTTTCCTCTGGGATCTCACACAGTGGTGAAATGGTATATCGAATTCCATTCATACGGTCTCTCTGGTCCATATATCTGATCAATTCCCCATTGAGGATTATTGATGCCATCGATAAGAGATTCTAAACCAATCGAAAAAAATGAGAATAAGCAGCCGGGTTTACCAATCGAACAAAAGCGAATAAATCTTACGTTGCTCGATTACCACACATGAATGATTTTCGTAGATTGTGTCAGGTCCGTGATGTGATAGTTTACGTGGTATTGATTTGATTGAACTATCAATAGGTTGGATTCCATTACAAGTATAAATCTGAACACTCGTTTGATCAGTGGTGACGCTCATTCTTAAATGATTAAATAAAGAAATAAACTACAAGTCAACGAATTATGATTGGATTAAAGTAGGAGAATTTGAATAACCCTTACTTAATTCCTGATTCTTCACTCCACATTTCCATCACGGCATCTTTATTGGATCTGTGAGGATGATAAACCAGAGCATTATCCTGAATGAACAAAAATTGAATAAATAAAGAGCTTTTAGGTCAACCCGCAGATACAATGAGGTAAAAGAATTTCAAGGAAAGAAACAAACTCGCATAACCTATACAATCAGTTCCACAAAGCCCTCTAGTCTGATCAAGAAGTGATCCAATCTTTCTATATTTATTAAAATCTAATGTGGTCTTAGCTACACTAGCTATTTCTCCTGTAGGAATTAGATCTCCATCTGTGACGATGTAAGATGGTGCATTCATTTGGATAAAATGATCTGATGCTGAGCTATTTGCAGCATACGCATCAAGATTCCTGTAATCATGAAAGATTGATAAGTTTTTAATCGAGTGGGTGAAAAGATTGATTTAGGTTCAACTTACCAATATACATGTGATGATAACATAATAGGTGTAGGCCCATCCGCTAAACCAGTCATCCTCGTCCGCCACTTTGCGCCTGGCAAAAGTTCATATTCGATCTGATTGGTTCCATAGTAACATAATCAGATTATTGGACTTTGCTTCAAAATGAAGGTTAATTTGGTGACTCACTGTACCCACAACCTGATTTGGGAAACCTTGTTCGCCATTAGGGTCGACGATTGTAAATGTAATTTGACTCAAACTTTTGTTTTGTACATCAAAAGGTCTAAAGAAAATTTGCGATAGATGATGCATGAGATCACAAAGACCATTCTGAAATTGGATGAATTTTTGAGACAAAGATAAAAGCCAACCGACGATCCCAACCCGGTTTACCACCATGTAAAGTATTCTGACCTAAAAGTAGACAAGAGTCATTAGATAGAGGTAAGGAAAAGGAATTCAAAATAAACTTACCATCGTGCTCATTTGGTGTGACTTTGTAAGTACGTTTATCTCGGCCTGACAAGGTGAAGGTACCTAATTCATATCAAAATAGCTTTTCAGATGCTTTTCCAACTATGTTGATATCATACTCAGAGTAAAGATTGCTTGCTGACTGTTTTTGATCCTGTTAGCGTATCGACCTACTATTGAACCAAATCTTGGATATGCCGGATCGTGGAGATACTGTGAAATGTTGTCGTAACCCAGCACAATATCCCGAAAGGAGCTGGTGTATAGATAAGTCAGCAAAGCTCTTTCAAATTGCTCGCACCATGAGAGGTTCGTGAAACGAACCAGCTAGGTATAGAAATAATTGGAAAACGAACCCGCTTCGATCTTTAACCATCAGGGTTTGAATTGAAGCGCCAAGACCAATGAAACTCGCGTGAATAGAACCATCTGAAGCAGATAAATGATGTATATCAAGTGGATCTGATTGATTTCCTAATGTAATTGATTGATATTTATATAAATCAGGTGCAACACTTGTACTTAATCCAGACCAAGGTACAGTCATTAAACAAATCATCACTGTAATGCAAAGTAGAACTAATGCAATCATTCTAAAGCTTCTCAATGATAATTTACATTTACAAATTCGATTGAAACTTGAACGTGAGGTATGATATGGAAATGAAGGTGATCGAAGGTAGGAAGGACTTGAATTGGTAGGTAAAAGTGGTGAATTCGGTTGAGGTGGAAATAATGATAGATTCTCATCACCTAAATTGCTGAGGCTATCGTCGGTTGAGTATTCGTCAGCAGTTTGCGTGCTGAGACGTTCAAGTTGAAGCCTTGGATTTAGATTGACGGGACTTTTGAGTACCATGACTGGATGATGATTCGGTGATTTCGATGATTGAAGAACGTTGAAGTAAGATTGCTTGAGAGGTTGCGAAGAGGGAGAAGGTTAAAGACAAGAAAGGTTTTGAAGCCCAGCAGCAATCTGACTTCCATGCAACTTGAAACCATCGGGAGACAACTGTATGCGGTGTCACCATGACGGTTGACCTCGGTAACCGGTTGACCATCTGACTAAACCTAAGATTAAGTCATGGGCTAAGTCATACAACACACTGTGACTGTTACCCCCACTTCGATTGCAATTTCAATCCATCAAATCAGCATTGCTATCATTCATCCCAACAAACCTATCTACGATCATTCTGACGAGATATCACACATTTACTTGAGGCTCATGCTCCAAAGCATCCAATATTTTGAATGCCTCAAAAGTGATGGGACTCGGGAGTTGATAGCCCGCATGGGGAACTGTCCTTGGGGTTTCTGATGAGGTACATCAAAGGTAAGAAAAGTATTAACTGCATATGGATGTGACCAACATAATAAAGAAGTCTACTTTATCATTTTGAAGTTGGGAATCATAAATTCATGAAACTTATGATTTCTCTGTGAATTAACTCCTTAGCATGATTGGTGTATATCCCAATTTCTGTCTGAGTCTGACCACTCATTGCTTTCTCTATGGCATGTCTGCCCACACATGCATATTTCCAAATTCTGAGGCTCCACCAATAAGTATGCCATGGAAAATCCCTCAAATTTCCCCTTGTTCAACACAAGTCGCCCGTGTAGTCAGCAACCTGTTATCGTTCTCGGAGTAGGCAATTGATGGAATTAGTAATTTCCTCTTTTTGGATAATTTTATAAAGCCGTTGATTACGCCATGTATTCTTTAGACATTCAAATCCCACCGGTGATATTATTCCAATGATCAATTTGTTCATTTTTCATTCACACAAAATCACGCTCAACTAGTGTCTTGGTTAAAAGAGCTCTTGCCCAATTGTGAACATATAACACGATACAGATACATAACCCGCCTTGGAAATCATACTTTATATATACGTTCCTCATCGCCCATTTATGAGCGTAAGGTTAACGATGGGCAAGGCCTGAATGACTAAACTAATCCAAAACAAAGCTATCGAACTGTCATACATAAACATCTGATGCTGGACATGAATAAAAACTACACGGTGTTACCTTTTGAACAAGAATCTTTATGCACTGATCAACCTCAACATTCTTTTTGATTTCTACAGAACTAAAATTCGGACCGGTCTCACCAGGCATGGAGGATGTGTGCATAAACAGAGGACACTCGTATTTTTGCGTCTTTACGCCATTTCCCTCATGTAGAGAAACCTTGATACCTAATCAACTGAGCGGAAAACCAATGATATAAATAACTGCAACACCTAAATTCGAGTGGTTCAGGTTGAGCGTGCTGATATGACTGACTACCATTTGAAGCTGATTAAGAACCGAATACTTCAGAATGCTCATGGCCTCCGACGCGAATTCAGAATTCAGAATCAAATGTAGATCGGATTCCCTTTCTTGAACTTATCCCTCTTCGCATTAATATTTATTGCAAGACTATGTTGAGCAGTGTTAAAATTCTAGTGTTTTGTAGTAATGGCTTTCGTTTTGATGTCAGCCAACTCGTAACAAATATGAATTGAAGAGGGCCAAATTTCTCTACCGATGTAGGTCTATTCACAGTAAATTTCACAGTCGCCACCTCATCATCAAAACTTTTCCTTCTATCATAATATATGTATCACCACTTGCCTTGAACTCGGCTTAAAACTCTGGTCTATCATAACTTGGCAAGAACTGAAGATCAGTTTCCGCATGGCAAATTTAATCAAACTACTTTCCGTCAAAGTGACTACTAGTACAAACCTTGAGAATTTTTCGAATTAAAGGGTTATATTTATTATGGGCGTTAAATTCTAAATGATATAAAACACCTTCCTAACCAATTCTACCACAACTCTTCATCTCGTCCTAATTTTTAAACTGACTATAAATATCAAACTTATCTTCTAATAGTAATATTACAAGACATATTCATTGTATAATTTGTATAAACTATTTTCTTCTTGAAACTCTTTCTTATTCAAACCTCATCCTTTAACCGATCTTTCAAAACAAAAAACAAAATTCATAATTTTTTTAAAATCATGTTAGGTTTTAAAAATTTAATTTTTTTATCAATTCTTTTGGTTTTGGTTTGTAATGGATCACCTTTAATGAAATTAGTGAATTTAAACAAAAGAAATGGATCTGCATTAACTTATCTACAATCTGCTTCAGTACGTCTTTTTTTCCTTTTCTTTCCATTCCCTTTAAAAGTGAGTAAATTTTTTCATACATAGTTCAATTAATTATCTTATTTTTTTTATCTTTCTTAATAAATTTTATCCAGACACATGAACGTCCAACAACCCATCAAAAACGACAAATTGTGAATACAGGTGTAAGACCAACCATCATTCAAAACGGAGTTCCAATCCAAACCGGAGCATATCCAATCCAAACCAATGGATACCCAATCCAAACCAATGGATATCCAATCCAAACCAATGGATACCCAATCCAAACCAATGGATATCCAATCCAAAACTCTCCAATCATCACCAACACTCCGATCATCACCAACACTCCAATCATCACCACCACTCCAATCCTAAGTAACAATCCAAACCTAAATAATCAACCACAATTAGGAGGAATTTCAACAAACGGAGCAGGTGTTATACAAGTTCCACCATTTTCAAATGGAGGACGTGGTCGAAATGGAGTTGGTGGGAATGGTAGACCAACTGGTTTCTAAAAGTAACATATAATCCTCAAGACCAAAAACAAAAAAACTTTTACGTCTGGTTATAAAATCTTGTATCCTTTAATCTCATCTTTTTATCTTATATAGGGATTTTAGTTTTTAAGTTATTTCATGTAGAACAAAGGACTTTGTAAATATTTAAAGAAAGGGTTTGTATTTAAAGAAAAACTTGATCAATTTTGTTCTTTCAAAAAGAGGGTATTTAAACTAGGCCTTGTATATATCATATCATACTTCACTAAAGATCAAAATTAAAAGTAAAGAAATATCTTTACTATGAAACTATTTTGTTTGGTTCAAGCTCTCTATATTTTTTCATGTTTTTTTTTTCCTATTGCCTAATTTGAGAATTCGTTTTTTTTTTTTTGAAAAATTCAATAAATCATTTCAAGATAAACTGAAACAGAAAAGATAAGTAGGTCAAATGATTCAAGAAATCAAAATTTTCAAGAAAACACCCATTTATTTTCAAGAAATAATATTAAAACATTCAAAATATCTACAAACCACCCAGAGAATAGGTAAGGTGCTTGTTGGTGATCTGCTAAGCCTAAACTCACAATGTGAAGGTTTAGCCAGAATCGGGGCGTGGAGCCCTATGTATTTGCATAGTAGAAAAAACAGCTATCGGAATAGGTTTAAATAAATGTGCAAATGACTCAAAGGCATAAAAAGCTATAAAAAGAGGACCGCATGGGCCTGCCGAACAAGTATTGAAGTAATCCAGGAAGAGGTGGGTGGGAAAAAAGTTTTTAATATTCTAATCACTAAGACGAATATAAAGAACCACGGATAATGTGAGAATACTTCTTTAGGAATGAATTTTCTAAAAAAACCCTTTGAGAAAGAATAAGAGTGGGAAGAACCGGAGTTCAAAAGCATCCACAGTCTTATATGATTAGCAAGAGGGTAAAGAGCCTCCTCATGTCATGGTAAAGAGAGTCTTTAACATTTCAGAGGGGTAAAGAGCACAGCAGTGCGATCAATTGTGACATGAATGGCTTACTCATCTTTCGTCGTGGCTACGTCACTATTGGCACCTGTCACCTATTCTGGTATCTAGAAGCAAGCTCCTGTTGCCCAATAAATCAGAAATCTTCAAACCTGATAATGTCGCCGAATGCCATGATAAGTTTCACAAAAGGTCTATTGGTCAAACCACTACTCTCACCAAACATACACCTTTTTAAGTCCTAGCTTCTGACCTCATCACATGAAAATATCATAATAAATATCAACTCAACACTCATTCCCCTAAAGACCTGTTTATTTCGACAAACTTCTCTCATTCTAATGATCATTTCAATCAAACCTTTCAAGTTCTAGAAAAAATAATTGCTTAAATAGTCAAGAACACAAAAAAAATCAAAAAGTTACAATATAAAATCACAAGAAATCAAAAGAAAAAAGAATAAATGCTACACGAAGGTTTCTATATAAGTAATAAAAAAGAAGAAAAAAGAAGAAGAAAAAAGAAATATGATTAAGTTTAGGTAAAAGTAAAGAAAAAACGAAACCCTAAACCAATTAACGAATCCAATAAAGCTTTGTATAACCCCAATTCAACTATTTATAAAAACGTTTTGCCTTTCTTGGATTTTCAAATGTAAGTCATCATAAAAAATAAACCCAGAGAAAGATCTTATAAACTATGTGGTTGATGAGCGAATTGAATCTTAAGTAAATCAAGTGGAGAAGTTCCAACCGAATGATCATGATGTTTCAAATTCCCACCAGCTGTACCACCACCACCACCACCACCACCACTTTCATTAGGGTTCACAAACTCATCATGATCTTCACCTGAAAGAGATCCGATTTGAGAATGAAGAGGGATCGAACCATAGTGATCATCATTTTGATAATGAAGTTGTTGTTGGGTAAACGAATTGATTTCGAATTCATCAAGTTGTTGATGATGAAGATCATGACGATGGTTAGATCCAGATGGATGTGAATCAGATTGAAATGATCGATCGGTTTGGTATGGTGCATTCATAAACGTTTCAGTGGGTTTAGATAAAGGAGTAGGTAAGGTTAATTGGTATCTAGGTTTAGTCAGGTGTGGTAATCCAACCGAATTGCTTATCCTACTATTCGATCTTGATTGTTGTGATGCATATGTACCGATTCGACTGTTCGATCTCGATTGTGGTCCAGCATATAGACTTGTCCTACTATTCGATCTGGGTGGTTGTTGTGCAGGATACGTACTGATCCGATGATCCATCATAGATGGTCCGAAATCAGTCGATCCATTTCTCGAGACACTGTGTTGATGACTAAGAATCGATTGACGTCTGGTAGCTTGTTTTAGCGTATTGGTAGATAAAGTAGAATGATCTTTAGTTAAAAGTAATGGATTCATGGGTAAAGGTGATATTCTTCCATTCGAATGAGACGGTGGTCCAAGTAAGATTTGTCGACTATCATCTGATCCACTCTCTAAACCGATCATCAACTCTTGATTTGTGTTAAGATTAGTAGGTGACGTCTTTTGACTTTCATCATGATGAGCAAATGGTAACAAAGAAGACGACATTGATCTATTCTCATCCTGATGATCACCTTGAACAGCTTGATTTAAAGATTTGATTCCAATAGAATACGAACCTAAATCTGAGATTTGTTCTTCTACATGATGATATTGGTTTCCAGAATGAGGATAATAAATCGAATGTCTAGCTAAACTGGCTTTTGAATGATATTGATGTTGTGATCCAATTTGATGATGACTGATGATTTGAGAAACCGATGAATGATCGTATCCATCATGATGACTTCCTTCAATCGGATTCTTCGTACTCTTCTTGTTGGGTGGTTTAGTTGATCGATGGTTTTGAAATTTATAAAACAGTCTTCTATAGATCCTATAAACTATAAACAATCCAATCACACTTCCTACAATCGCAATAATCACCACTGCTACTACTGGTAATGCGTTCTTATCATTTGTGGTAGTATTTGAAAGTGATGAAGATGATGAAGCTAATGGTTCGACTGGAATGGTTTGAGGTGAAGAAACGACCGAAGATTGGGTGATGATTTCGTTATTGGATGAAGAGACTAGTCGCTTTTTGAATATTTTAAAACAATCAAGGAGATCACATTAGCGATTTGAAGATCACATTAGCGATTTGAACAGAATGATGTTAAATGAATGACTTACATCTTGATTTTGATTTTGATTTTGATTTGAAGGTGAAGGTGAAGGTGAAGGTGTGATAGTGGAAGGTAAGACAGGATTGGTAGTTGGAGTAGTATTATTGATAGCTTTATTAGTGATAGGAGTAGTGATAGGAGTAGTGGTAGTAGTAGTGGGTGGTGATATCGATTGAGTGTTATTAACTTTAACTGGTGCCACTGCTGAGCCTGTAGCATGTGAAGTCATAGTGTAATTCTTCTATATTTAAACCTGTTAAAATTCGAAAATTAAAGAAAAATTGTTAAAGAGTTTGGATTAAATGCTTAAGTTGATTGATGCCTCAAGAGTAAATATCTTTCTATAACTTTTTCAATTTTCTAAAACTTCAAAAATAATAATCGCAGTTAAGATTAAAATGTTTCAAAGATTGGTTCTAGAAAGAAAGAAAAAAACCCACACACAAAATGGATGAATGATTGGATTAGATGATAATAAAAAAAGAACAAGAACAAGACCAGATGAAAACTTGAACGTAAGAGGTAGTAGTAGTAGACTACAAGATTCTTGAGATTCTAATTAATCTTTGGACTAACCATTTGATGAAAAATGAAACTTGTTTTGTAGAAAAATAAAAACACACAGACACTTCAAATTGAAATTAAAACTGAATCGGTTTAGAACTAGATCAAAATGAAAAATAAAAAGAGAAAATCAAGTGATTATCAAACTTCTATCGTATCTGGTCTGGACAACTTTCTTCGATGAAGAACAAGCAACCGAAAAAAAATGTCAAGTAAGACCGAAAGAAATGAACAAAAAAATGATCAAGATTCTTACATAACCTACCGAACCAACTTCCAAAGTTGTACGCTGTTCATAGATAAAACTCCTTTCAACAAGCTTTTTGTATGACTTGTGTTTTTCTTTTCAATGGGGTAAAGTAAAAATAAAATGTAACTTTATCGATCTTGGTCACTCAATTTTTTAAACAAAAATGATATTGATAGTCTAAGTACCGTTGTTGAAATTGATTGAAAAGACCAACAAAACAACGATAAAACAAAACAAGAGGCTGTTATGCATATCAATATCATCTTTGCAACAATCAGTTGGATTCGAGAAAAGTGTGAATATGTTGAAGCATAAGCTTTTTCATCATTCCAACAACCCAAACAAATTGAAAAAATGTAACGGGGGGGTGGGGTTGCGTCGAAAGTTTGATTTCAAGTTTTGTAACATGACTCTGAGCAACTTTATGGAATGTTGAAAAATGTTATAATTAATCCTTTCATTTATATGGATTTGTAATGGTATGTGAAGGCCGCAATCAAAAATGGTGATGATAAAAGTTCACCAATCCACAAAGGTTGGATCGTAGATGTCTGAATTTGAGACATCATAGCATCATTTTCGAAGTATTCAATCGAATGAGATCTTTTCAATCTAAAGAAAACAAAACATAAGACCTTCACAGTCCAAAACAAAAGTAATAGACTAAGCGAAAACACAAGAAAAGAAGCGAGACCATAGTTGATATGTAGAGAAGTATCTGAAATTCAAGTTATAAGATGAATCAAAGAAAGTAGAAATCTAGGATATATATCAGGAATTGCGTAGTACTAGGATAAACACAAGCCAATAAGATCTCAAATGATATCCTAATCCAAGTCCATTCAAACAAGCTCTAAGACCGAACCCAACAGCTTGGAGGACATTAACAAAGACGAGGTATGATTAGACCAAGAGGTTCGATTGGTTGGAACAAGAATCAAGCAAAAAATCTACGTAACACAGCTTTGAAACATCTGGAAATTGAACTGAAAACCAATTGAAGACTTGCATTGGATATTAAAACCTCATGGTCAGACTCATACCAATCCCAATGATAAGAAACATATAAGCCATGTCTAAAAAATTGTCTTATAAAGGCAATGGACTAACATCAACAATTGCAACAGTGATATTGAAGAATTAGAAAAGATTAGTGAGTTTGGAGAAAAAGGTGATTGGGTATCACTATCACTATCAGATTAGTTGAAGATGATACACGATATAGTAACAAATGACAAGGATTGAACTTGAAGCATGAATTGAGACTGAGTGAAAGTCTGTATGAATTCACAATGAAAACTTTTCATTGTTCCTTTGAGATTTTGGTAGTCAGAGGCAATGAACAAAAACTTACAAGAGATACTTGTCCTACAAGGCAAAAACCATATCCACCTTGAAAAAAAGCTATCCAATGGCAATCATCTGAAAGTATTAAATCCCCTGCCATATGTCAACATTGCTGGCACCCATGGTACTGAAGGCCTCAAAGATGTTGAATGCTGCTTGAACTGCCAGCAAAGATATGTACCTCAGATATAAATTCCCTTGGACTGTGTGTCCAAGGAATCAATCTGAGGCTTTCTTTGGCCCCAAAGATTGCCTTGGATCAATTAATTGGACACTGTCTCTGAGGCTATTGCAATCCATGGTACCTTGAAATTTCTAATCTGTGGCATCTTTGTTGGCAGTGTTGGTTGTTGAGGATTAAGATTAACTGAGCCCCTCACAAGTTTTTTTGCCGCGCCCTCAAAGAGGGGCTTACATCAGGTGATTTCCAGCATGTGAGCTCCAATAATCATGTCTTTTTATGTTATTTTTTCACTTCTCTGCCACCATAAAAAATGTGGTGCTTCTGCCATGTGGGTCTTCATGCAATATTAAAAATTTGGATTATATAGGTTTCATGAGCAAAATACAGTTTGGCACAGCTTTGAAACTGTGATAAAAACACCAAAAATGGACCTTAAGCCTCCTGTAAATGGCCTAAGACCAACTAAAAGACCCCTATGAAATTTGAAAGCACATGTATACCTCTCCTACACTACCAATTCAAAACCCATCCACTCAATGTAAACCAATGTGTGTGGTACCAGAATATGTAGCAACATGCAAAGAACAACCTACCAGAATCTCAACACGTTCTAAAGTGAGGTGAAACAGAGTCTGAGAAGCAAAAAAACAACTCAAGGGGACTTAATTCTTGGAGGTTACATACCAACAATCACGAGTCCAATGAACCTCAATCTATTCTGATTAAGACATATTCTTCACCTGATGATTTCCAGGGTCCCATACATTGTCCTTCTGAGAAATCCCAACTGATACCCAAGTGAACTTCAAGCAAGTTTAATTTGTTACTCTTAATTTGAAGTTTGTGTTGTTTGGCCAGTCTTGATGACAAGTACATTTGCCTCTATGATGGTGAACTTAAGATCAAATGGAATCTTCTCACAATGAATCTTGCCATAGATTCAACCACGGTATATTTGTCACTGTTCCCTAATCTTCCATTGCCTCACGGTTTTTGATAGCCTTGGTAATGGAAAAAGGCCATGATCCAAAAAGAGTGCTTCTCTTGGGCAAAAATACAGCTTATTTGACAGGAATTATGTCACATTTTATCCAGATCTGACAATGAAATATAAAAGGTCCGGTAATTGAACTCTAGAACACTTGTTGATTACAAAGGAAATTGAAATGCAAAAAAATCCATAGAAAGTTACAAAAGAGGAAGAAATGGGACTTGGTAAAGTTACTATCTGTTGGGAATGAATATACCAAGGATAAGTTCAGTGATTGGTGCAAAGCCCAAGGTGTAAGCCAAGGGAAATAAAATGATGTGTACAACAAAAAACCCACCCTACTGGGTGGCTAGCGGATACAAAACAATTGTGACAAGTACACAAGTCTCAAACCAAACAAAGATGATTGAATAATAAACAATGATATGATACTGTACCTTAAAACGGTAAAAATAATAAACTAGACCAAAGTAGTCTAATGAAATACACCTGCTGTAAGAAACCAAGAAGAAATGAGAATAAATGAAACACAACCAACCCTCACTGATTTCAAAATAGTCCTGAAGCTGAAATACTGATATCCATTTCATGCAGGGAATGGGAGGGTGGGAGAAGATTCATTGACTTAGAGTGTGATAAGGTGATTTAAACCTTGAGTTGAAGATGGATATTACTTTGACCAAATTGAATGCTATGGAGAAGTTGATCACAAAAGTGGTCATCAGCTATGATCTCACACTGCCAGCATAAAGTAATCTTCATGTAGAAAAAATGATTGCATTCATAGAAACAAATGAATGAAAATGCATTAGAGCAGCATTTTTGATTATGTAAGTAATCATTTTTTCCACAGGAAAATTACTTTATGCTGGTAGTGTCATAGCTGTGGATTGAAAGAGATGGTTAGAAAAGGCCAACCCATCAGCTACAGGGATACATATAATGGATCCAACTTTCCCCCTTTCCACTTTGTTGATTACAAGTTACTCATAGCAGTTTAAGTAGTATACCCAAATGAGAAACTGGTTCAGAGAAAAATAGCAGAGCTAATTAGTACCACAGGCTACAACCAAATGAATCACATGCTTGGAGAGTAAAGATCAAAGAAAAAACTGTTTCTTTGCAAAAGGAAGGGAATTGCAACACAAGAAATAGAGGGATCATAATAGAAGAAAACATATCCAGTCATCATAATATCAAACATTTCAAGCTACTGACACCCCCTTCTGAAGAATCCATGCCTAAATTCTAATTTCATCAAAGATGATGCCACCACTGATTGAATGCTAAAGATCTCATAAAAAAATATCACAAGAAAAGCACAAACATGCAAGTCATAATCCACAACCTTGAGCATCAAGCAAGACTTGATCATAAAAATACTATATCTACATCAACAGTTTTTTCTGTGAATTATTTGGAGACACCTCTGTTCTATATATTTCCGGTGTGGAGGAAGAATCCTAAAACTTGGTGATTGTTTGCCATTAATTTCTGGACAATTCATCTCATCATACCACACATCTACCAGATACCAAATCAGACCTTGTGGTACCATGTTGACTCCTCTTTTCTTGCTTAGATAGTTCAGTGTTAATCTTAAATCAAACCATTCCTGTGTCACCCTAGCTTTTCCAGGAGGAGTCAACAATATTTTGTGACCCTTTTCTGGAAGATATCTAATCCATGTAGAGAAATACTCTTTCAGGAATTCCCAACCACTCTGAGATACAGCATTCCAAGTTGTATCAGTGTCTATTGCTGGATCATGATGCATCAGCCGCAAAAGACCCATGAATGCTGGAGTCACTTCATTTTGTGCTAAATGTATTGCCTGGTGAACCATATCTTTGTTTAAGATCTGAGCTCCTTCCTCGACATGCTTTGAATTGTTGCAAGCACCCATTTCTGGGTTGGGGATGGATTCTATAGCACTGTGAAGGTGTGAAAAGAAGGTCAGAGTGCCATCACTTCTAGGCACATCTGATCCTATATTCTTGAGAACCTGGACTAATTGAGAAGAGGAGAGGATTGAGACATATCTTGTTGATGTGTTGGTTAAGTCGTCTTGAATTATGTGGTGATTTGTGACCTTGTTTTTGTTTTTGTAATAAATAGTCATTTCTTCTCCTTTTTGTTTGTAAAATATCTCACATTCTTCAACAAGTGACCCATAATCTGTAGCAATACCAGAAATAATATCCTTATAGGTGGTTGTGGTAGCCCAATCCTGGATTGTTTGGTGTATGATTTTTGATCCTATTGGAGAGCTCTTTGCAAGATTTGATATATATTCAAGGAGTTCTCCACGTTTGATACGAGTGTGTTTCTGTCTTTTTTGATTTTTAGCTGGCATTATAATGGTTTCTCTTGGTGACAACATTAACTCAGCATTGATAAACTCTTGAAGATATTCCCATAAATCAAGAATCAACGAGTTCATCAATTCCAATCCAATGTGTCTTTGGACTATGAGCTTCAAAGCACCTATACTCCCCATTACAAGGCTGGTCCTCAATTTCTCAATAGATATATGGAATTGACTGAAATTTCTGAGTCTGTATAAGCTATGATCTGGCATGAGCTTGTAGGATTTTTCTAAATTTTTGAAAAAATCACCAATTTTGTCAGAAACATTGTATCTCTTGGCTAATAGTAGTCTACATTGCCATTGAAGGACTGAGCTCAATGTACTTTCATGTACATAGTAGTGATGCTTCTGGTAGTTAATGTCTTGTAATTTCTTCTCAAGTTGCATTCTGTCCTGAGATGTATCATTTGCTTTGCGTTTCTTTTGATGGCTTGCTGCAGGAAGGTTATTGGGCTTATGTTTGGTTCCAATGTTTGCAGGCTGTTCAGATGGTGTTAGAGCCCCAAGTGATCCGTGTTGATTGGTGTTTTCTAATTGGTTTCCTATGATATCAATTGGTAAAGTTTTTCTTGCTGATATACTTCTCACCTGCATGGTTTCAGAGTCTTGACAAACCCTCAAAGGTTGTTCAAAATTCAGAATGGGTTCATTCAAAATTTTTGTATTGGTGCTCCCAAAACTGTTTCCTATTTTACCAATTGATAAATTTCCTCTTGGTGAGATACTTCTCACTTGAGTAGCACTTGTTTCCAATCCTATCTCTTTTTCAATTTGTGCTCTTGATTCTTGGATTGAAAATAGAATATCCTGTGAATGGAAGTCCAGTGTATGATAGTGATTGGAACAGACATCATCCCATCCAAATGAAATATCATGGTTGAAATAATTTTGATCATCACTGATATGTTGTGGATGAATTGTGTCCTGCATTGAAGTACCATCAGGTCTTGAAAAGCTAGTTTGAAGGGTTGTTTCTGGATCAATGATGTCTGAGTAGAATTCTACTGTGTGCTTATCATCCCAAAATCCTGCAGAGATAACTGGAAGAAAGAAAACTTGAGTAATTATTGAAGGAAGCATGAGTTGAATAGCTGCTCCTTTTTGAGATCAAAATTCAAGGAGAGTGATAATGTGAATTTTGGGCATCAAAAGCTTGGACCTAGAATCTGGCTACCCATATTATGAGATATTTAAGCCAATGATACATGTTTTATATGTAATCCCCTCCCTTGGTACAACCTATGTTTCTTGTCCCAGAATGTGTTCCTTGCTCCAAGATTTTTTCACTGCCCCCAGCTGCACTTTGTGTACAGGCTGCTTGCTGTGTCAGATATAGAAAAGCTTTCTATGTGGGCCTCAGATTGGTGAGGCAAAATACAGCCATTCTGAAAAACAACAGTAGAAATCTTCATTGATGTGTTGCACCTGATTTATTCCAAAAGGCCAAAACTAGTTAAATCTGGTCCAGAGTGGTGGGTTTCTCTGGTGGCATTGTTCATGTTTGTGCAAAACTTGGTTTACTCCAGTTTTGGCCTCTCTTGATCCAACTCCAAGAGCAACACACAGTCAACAAATTCTGCCACCAATTTTCAGAATGGCTGTAACATGAATGGTCTTTGGATTTGTATAGTGGGTTGCTAACTTCTGTCACCCACTTGATATACAGGTTTTCAATGACTACTATCTTACTCTGAAGGGTCTTGTAGTTTCCGCCCTGAGCCCTGATCACAGGACCACAGGACCACAGGCTAACAGCATCACATGTCATAACATGATATTGTCAAAAGTCATAAGTTACATCTCAAGGCTCAGTGCAAAGAGCCACATAAACACATGTATGTAATGTATTAATCACATGACAAACCTAACCCAAGCAATGAGACAAGAATCAAACAACTACCAACAAGTTCACACTTGAACTTGTGAGTATATAAACCCCTCTTCCTTGCTTGATTCGTACAGCATCTTACAACACATCAAAACATCAGAGTCACAGTATACTTGAAATCCTATTGAGAGGATCCTTGAGTAAGTGATTAGTTGTGTAGTCTAAAGACCAAACTTGAGCATTACGGGTCCCATTGCTGAGCACTCTTGGTATTGATTTCTACAAGCCCTGGGCCATCATAGTCTCTATGAAAACATGCAAAGCAGCAAGGCTTCCTCCCTTACAAATAGTCCAAAGTAGCCTCAGGATCTTTGGTTTGACAAATTTTGAAGCCTGCCCCTTGCATTCTCAAAAGTTTTTGAGTGTATTAGCTCTTGATAGCCTTTCCCTTTCATTTTTACTCCCTCAAACCCTCTTATTGGAATTCAACTAGCTGTAGTCACTACTTGGGTGTACCAATTGAAGACACACTTTTTCCTTTCCCTACACTTATGGCGTTCAAACATGCGCAAGAAATTTGCAAGTTGCAAGAAAGTTCTGTGCAAGTTCTTTCAAACATCTTGCAGAGAATTTGCACAAAACTTGCAGACTTAAGAAAGTTATGTGTGAACCTAGGCTTCCCCGCTTCGAGGACTCAGTTTGCCCTTGATGAGAAAGGGTAAATATATACAGCAGGGGGTTGTGAAAAAATTAATTAAGCAAGATCCGTGCAAGATTGCTTGCACAGATCTTGCACATGTTTGAACGCCATAACTACAAGAAACATAATATTTTCTGCACGGAAAAGAAAAGTCTTGTCATAGAAAAATATTGAGATCTCAGGAGGAGAGCAAAAAATACAAAAATATGGATCCCACTATTTAGAGCCCTCGGAACAGGATCCGAAGCCCCCTATCGGGTCGATTCCAAGGCTTCAAATAAATCAGGAGCCCCTTTTTCAAAAAGGGGCTCCTCAAGGGGCTCCCGTTATTTTTTTCCCACACCTGGTTTCCATGCAACCTAACCTTTTATGTACTTGAAAAAACTATTCATGCAACATTACATTACAAAAAACTGAATGAGCCGTCAACGACTCAAAAAGATGACTGAGCCGTCATCGACTCATTGACCTACCACAAGCTGCAACTCGCTCGATTTGAGCGCAAAATAAAGACCTCAAACATTGGCATAATAATCAGGGTTTTGGTGGCTTGCGTGGTTTGGGTGGTTCATAGTGTAGAGTTTTGCTGTATGTGTCAAATGAGAAGGTTTGTAGGCAGAGGGTTGTGTTAGTTGTATTATGAAGGTTGGTTTGGTTGTTTAAAGTTGTTTAACGATGTTATTAGCTGTTATTAGTGGGTAAGGAAAAGAAGGAGAAAAATCGGACAAGGGAAGAAAGTTGGAAGGGAGAGGGGACGCGTCTATATGTTTTGAAGTTGTGTGTGCTCCTTCCAAGGGGTGGAAGGGCCAATGTCCGTGCATGATGCAAGGGGTGCCAGGGCCAGTCCGGGCTCAAAACAATTTGGGAGCCCCCTGCATTTGTTTTTGTGGTATTTGTCGCCCCATCGGGGCTCCAGCGTAATTATGTGCCCTCTTAGGGAGCCCTCGATGAGCCCTCGAGGTCCGAACAAGGAAATTATAGGCTAAATTCAGTGGGGTGTCATCGGGTCATGCGGGTTTTGGTGAAAACCCGGGGGGCTCCGGATATCAGCTGAGGGGGCTCTAAATAGTGGCATCCAAAAATATATGCACCTTGTTGCCTGCTATCAGAGCTTTAATCCAAGTATTTTTTGGTATTTTTAGAGTCTCTTTTGATGAATGTACCAACAATAAACCTTCAATTTCATCAAATTACAGCCTGTAACAAAGACTGAAATTTGGCTCATGAGGATCAAATGGACATTCTTATTTCTGAGAAAACTCATAATTTTTTTAATTGCGCTCCAAAGGACTTGATCATTAACTCATTAGAAAGCTGAATGCATTCTGGACATACTTTGTTATGGACTAAGAGCTCTGGCTGTTGAGTGAAAGAAGTTATAGAAGCTTGAAACAATTCACACATATGTCTCCATAACGCCCTTACCAGACTAGCTACACATTTTCACTTTCAATGAAAGCTCTGGATCAGATGTTCAGCTTTCTAATGAACTCAAAATCGAGGTTTTTCATGCCCAAATGCAAAAGTTATGTGGTTTCTTAGACATCAAAATGTCCATTTGATCTTTGTGAGCCAAATCTCAGCATTTGTTACAGGTTGTAATTTGATGAAATTGAAGGTTTATTGTTAGTACATTCATCAAAAGAGACTCTAAAAATACCAAAAAATAATTGGATTAAAGCTCTGATAGCAGGCAACAAGGTGCATTTTTTTGTATTTTTTGCTCCTCTCCTGAGATCTCAATAGTTTTCTATGTCAAGACTTATCTTTCTTGTAGTGCTATGATCCACTTAGTGAAAAGTACACCGAACAGACACATATTCCTCACATGTGGGGTTCAGCAAAGCTTTGCAAGCATTCTGTAGACCTCTTAAATCAATAACACAATAAGCGTAGATGAGGCAAGTAAGTTCACCAACCAAAAGACAAATATAATCCATGTAATTTATCTCAGTGGATACACAAGTGTCTGAGGATAGCAATGAATGGTCTTAAGCAAAACACCAATGAGGCCCCCAAGTTGTGAGGAGTACACATCATTTGGGTGTACTCTTCACTGAGGGTAGCTTACAAAAGGGATAGTGTGGTCTTCACATGGTAAAAACCAAGTGAGCACTACATTTAGTTTACCTCTAAGAGGTGGGTTTAAGGAAAGGGAAAGAAGTTAAAAGACAGTAAATAGCTGTTGTGTTCTACCCTTGTGAGGTTGTGAGTGGCAGGCTTTAAGCTTTGGTAAACCAAAGATCCTGAGGCTACTTTAGAGCTCTTAAAAAGGAGGAAGATTTGCTGCCTTGAAGTCTATGTCTAGAGACAATGAATTCCCTGGGCTTGTAGAAATCAGTACCTTGAGTGTTCAGGCATACAACCAATAATGCTCAAGAATGGTCTTTAACAAGCTACATAACTAACCACATACTCAAAGACAGTCTCAGTATGAGTCAAGTGAAATGTGGTTCTGTGTTGTGATTGTAGTAAAAGATGGGGGATGATTCTAAGGAAGAACAGGGGGTTTTTATATTCTCAGGTCAAGTGTCAACTTGCGGTTGGTGGGTGAGTCTTGTCTAGTCACATGTCAACTGGTGGTCAACAGATGGGTTAGGCTTATTATGGCTTTAATACATTACATACATGTGTTGAAGTAGCTCTTGACCCCAAGCATTGAGACACAGCTTATGGCTTTATGACATATTGTAATATCAAATATGGCACTGTTAGCCGCTGGTCCTGTAATCAGGGCTCAGGGGTACACCTCCAGTCATCAAAAAATCAACCATTCCAAGCTACTGACACCCCCTTCTGAAATATGCATGCCTAACTTCTATATGTACCATGTATGATGCCCCACTGATTGACTGCTAAAAAGCTCATAGAAATTGATCATGGAAATAGCACAAACATGAAAGTCATAATCCACAATCTTAATCATCAGATGATACTTGAACATGACAATACTATTACTGTAATTCTATCAACAGTCTTTCCTTGGCATTCTTTGGAGACACCTCTGTTCTATAACTTTCCTGTGTGGAGGAAGAATCCTAAAACTTGGTGATTGTTTGCCATTACTTTCTGGACAATTCATTTCATCATACCACACATCTGCCAGAAACCAAATCAGACCTTGTGGTACTGTGTTTGTCTCTCTTTTTTTGCTTAGATAATTCAGTGTTACTTTCAAATCAAACCATTCATCCAACACCCTAGCTTTTCCAGGAGGAATCACCAAGATATGATGATCTGGTTCTGAAAGATATCTAATCCATGTAGAAAAATACTCTTTCAAAAATTCCCAACCACTCTGAGATACAGCATTCCAAGTTGAATCAGCGTCTATTGCTGGATCATGATGCATCAGCCGCAAAAGACCCATGAATGCTGGAGTCACTTCATTTTGTGCTAAGTGGATTGCCTGATGAACCATTTTTTTGTTTAATATCTGAGCTCCTTCCTGGACATCCTTTGAATCATTGTAAAGACTCTTTTCTGGGTCAGGATTGGATTCTATAACACTGTGAAGGTATGAAAAGAAGGTGACAGTATACTTGCTTCTAGCCACATCCCATCCTAGCTTCTTGAGAGCCTGGACTAATTGAGAAGAGGAGAGGATTGGGATCAATCTTGTTGATGTGTTGGTTAAGTTATCTTGCAATATGTGGTGATTTCTGGCCTTATTTTTGTTTTTGTAATAAACAGTCTTGTCTTCTCCTTTTTGTTTGTAAAATGTCTCACATTCTTCAACAAGTGACTGATAATCTGTAGCAATACCAGAGATCATATTCTTGTAGGTGGTTGTGGTAGCCCAATCCTGGATTTTTAGGTGTACAATCTTTGATGATATTGGAGAGCTGTTTGCAAGATTTGATAAATATTCAAGGAGTTCTCCAGGTTGGATCCAGTTGTGTTTTTGTCTTTTTTGCTTCTCAGCTGACATTATAATAGTCTCTTTTGGTGACAACATCAACTCATCATTGATAAACTGTTGAAGATATTCCCATAAATCAAGAATCAATGAGTTCATCAATTCCAATCCAATGTGTCTTTGGACTATGAGCTTCAAAGCACCTATACTCCCCATTACAAGGCTGGTCCTCAATTTCTCAATAGATATATGGAATTGACTGAAATTTCTGAGTCTATATAAGCTATGATCTGGCATGAGCATGTAGGATTTTTCTAAATTATTGAAAAATCTTGCAATTTTGTAAGAGACATTGTATCTCTTGGCCAATAGTATTCTACATTGCCATTGAAGAACTGAGCTCAATGTGATTTCATGTGCATAGTGGTGATGCTTCTGGTGATTAATGTCTTGTAATTTCTTCTCAAGTTGCATGTTCTCTTGAGGTGTATCATTTTCTTTGTGTTTCTTTTGATGTCTTGCTTCAGGAAGGTGATTGAGCTTATGTTTGGTTCCAATGTTTCTCTGTACCCTCACAGGCCGTTCAGATGGTATTAGAGTCTCAGTTGATTCGTCTTGATTGGTGTTTTCTAATCTGTTTCTCATGATATCAATTGGTAAAGTTTTTCTTGCTGATATACTTCTCACCTGCATGGTTTCAGAGTCTTGACAAACCATCAAAGGTTGTTCAAAAGCCACAATTGGTTCATTCAAGGGTTGTGTATTGGTGCTTCCAAAACTCTTTCCCATTCTACCAATTGATACATTTTCTCTTGGTGAGATACTTCTCACTTGAGTAGTGCCTGTTTCCAATTCCATCTCTTTTTCAGTTTGATCTCTTGATTCTTGACTTGGAAATAGGCTATCCTGTGAATGGAAGTCCGGTGTATGATAGTGATCTGCACAGAAGTGATCCCAGCCATATTCTATATCTTGGTTGAAAGAAATTGGATCATAACTGATCTGTCGTGGATATATTCTGTCCTGCATTGAAAGGCCATCAGGTTTTGAAAAACTAGTTTCAATGCTTGGTTCTGCATCAATGATGTCTGAGTAGAATTCTACTGTGTGCTTATCATCCCAAAATCCTGCAAAGATCACTGGGATGAAGACAACTTGAGTAAAGTGAATAAGCCATATCTTGGAAGTAAGCATGATTTGAATAGCTGCTCCTTTTTGAGATCAAGATTCCAGGAGAGCAATAATGTGGAATTTGGGCATAAAAATTTTGAACCTGGAATCTGGTCACCCATATTATGAGACATTTAAGCCAATGATGCATGTTTTATATCTAACCCCACAATCCCTTGGTACAAGTTCAACCTGTGTTTTTTGTCACAGAATGTGATTCTTGCTCCATCCAAGCTTTTTTTATTGCTCCCAGGTAACCTTCCAGTACAGGCTGCTTCATGTGTCAGATCTAGAGAAACTTTCTATGTTGGTGCTCAGGTTGGTGGGGCATGGTACAGCCATTCTGACAATTAACAGTAAAAATGTTCATTGCTGTGTTTCACTGGATTTGATCCAAATGTCCAAAAATAGTTGAATCTGGTCCAAAGTGACAGATCTTTCAGGCAAGTTGTGCCAGGCACCATTGTTCATTTTTGTGCAAAACCTCGGTTCAAACCAGTTTTGACCTCTCTAGATTCAACTCCAAAAGCAACACACAGTCAATGAATTCTGTCATTGATCATCAGAATGGCTGTAACATGAATGGTTTTTGGATTTGTATAGTGGGTTTCTTCTGCCACCCAGTTGATATACAGAATTTGGAATACTCTGAAGGGTTTTGTAGGATTCAGCAGAGTTTTGCAAGCATTCTGTAGAACTTTTGAAATTGAGAAAACAACAAGGCTAGAAGAGGCCAATAAGTTCACCAACCAAAAGACAAATATAATCCATGTAAATTATCTAAGTGGATACATAAGTGTCACAATGCCTCCCAGTGACAAGTTTACCCAATCAAGATTGTCCAGTTCCTGCCCAATATTAACACCAGTGAGCTGTAGCCCCATCCACACTACAATCAAGAATGCATGCAACACTCAGTCTCACATACCCAACATGTACAGTGTATCTTCAAAGTCTGAATTGAAGAATCTTTCATAAAGGGCTTTTTGAACCCATAAAGAGCTTTTCGGAACTTAGCTTCAAATTATATAGTTTAAGGATGTTGAATGATGATTGAAATTCAAAAAAAGACAGAAAACACACAAACTGCAATAAACCCAGATAAACCAAAATAAACCCCAAGAAACAAAGCAGTATCACAGTTAATAGAGAATTATCTGGAGTTCAAATTACAACATGGATGAAGATAATGAGGGAACATTATAAAGCTGGGATACACATTGTGAATTGTGTAGGATGAAATCAAGCCAATTGAAGATCTCAAAGGACACCAATGAGACCTTGACCACCCAATAGGACTCTGAGACCCAAGCCAATTTCAGTAAGAACAGATCTAAGACCAAAATAACAGGTTGAAGGACATTTACAATAGGAGGTAAGATTTGACCAAGAAGTTCAACTTGTTGGAACAAGAATAAAGGAGGGAAGCCATCATTGACCCAAGTTTCAACTGGAATATCACAAGATGATTCGGCAACTGGTGAAGACTTGTTGCATATTGACACCCAGGGTAATACACATGATGATTATTGCTCCAAAGAAGGCATTAAACCCAGAGAGCTAATCTAAGAGGTCAAATAAGTTCAGTTATCATGCACAAAGGTAAGAGTTGAAATAGTTACTGACCTTGAATGAGAGCAATTTGAGTGCCAAATTGGATGAAAATGTGACAAGGGATTGAACTTGAATGATGACTTGAGTGATGGTTTGCATGAACTGAAAATTATAGTTGAGCATATGCTCATAATCACCAATTTTTCTACTACAATTTCAAAGAAAACGATGATGATGAATTGAATGTAGATCAATGATGTCAATAATATATTGGGGTTTCACAGAGGAGAAGAACTTGATCCAAGAATTAATTTGGTTAAAGCCTATTTGTACTGCTAAACATGGCACCATTTATTCTTCTATATTGCCTTTACAAGAAACTTCACTCTAACTGTGACTGATCTAACCCAAACGTACCTGAACTCGAATTGTTTTCCGAAAAATCAAAATCAACAAAAGTAATTCAATACTTTATATTGAGATGAGATTCTTTGAAAGAATTTCTTTTCATCAGGTCAAGAAACTCAAGTCTCTAAACATGACAATTCAGGTTGATCTGATCAAATGAAAAAAATCATTCTATCAATTTTTAAAATCAATTTATCAAAAGTGTAAAAAAACAAAAAGAAAAGAAAAAAACAAAATTTCAATCATAACAATTATTTTGAAATTTGATTCATGCATTATAAGATCATCCTCATAGAATAAGCGTCTTCTCCATCAGCATCTAAAAACACACAAAAGAACCCAAAAGTGAGTTGATAATCAACACAAGACCAATGAATCATGAATTACTTACAATATCCCTTTTCAATTTCTTTTACTGTAAAACCCAGGGTATCTTTATACAGATTCAATGCAGCTCGATTCGTTTTTCTAACATGTAATGAAACATATTTTCCTCCAAAGATATCTCTCATTGCTTTCTCTATTACAAAAAAAACCATAAAGAAGAAATGTACCAGTTCTCGTATCAATTTTTCTTTTAGGAAATCTATAATCATTGAAATAATCACTAACGAGATTGTTGCATTAATTTATTGGCTAATCCTAATCTTCTATAAGTCCTTAAAACTGATATTGATGTCACATGTCCATGTGGTTCATCTGATGGATCTTCTTCCCTAAAATCGTTTATTTTTGTCAAGATTTTCAAAAAAGAACAAAACCAAAGTTGATCGTTAAATTGAATTTCACGATAAACAAACCATTGAGAAATTCACTCACATTTTAGCTAAAATATATCCTACAATCCTACCTTTATGATCTTCACCCACAAATGAAAGTTGTGGCCAAGTAAGAATATGATACAAATCTAATGTTTTAATGATCAAATTGAAATTCAGTTTTGTTTTTCAATTTTTTTTTCTTTATTTCAAACAAGAAACAAAAGATTTTGATTGTTTGACTTACAATATTTAAGTTGATAATTTTCTAAAGATTTTAATAATAAGTTGATCATTCCATGTTCCCATTCATTTTTGTTGGTTCAGGTTCAGTTTTTCGATGTTTTTTTATTTCCATAAAAGATTTGATTTAATTTCAAGCAAGAAAGTAAAATCGGATTCGAAAAATCCAAATAAACAAACAAATCAATCAACTTTAATTCTCCGAGCAGAACAAAAAAAACAATAGAAACTTCAATCTTTTAACCCCTTCTCTAGAAACCCTGTTTATCCTTACTTACCTGGTAAATTCATTAAATTACAGTGTTGCATCCTTCATTACAAAAAAAACCACAAAAGAAACTATCAGTTCCGTCATCCTTCATTCATTGAGATAAATAAATCAATAACGAACCCCTCCAAATCATCTACCTAAAACACACCAAAGAAAACTTCGTCAGACAGACCAAGTCATGTCGTTCGGACGCATAAAACTCCTTACAGTAGCTTGTCTAATATCCATCTTCAATCGCCGAATCCTAAAAACTCCACAATCTTTTTCTTCTTTGTATCAAGAATCGATCGACCGTAATGTTCCGTTTCGTCTTTATGAATCCTTCGATTTGGTTGTGTGAGTATTGATCTGCACTTTGAAAAACAATCTTGATCGACGTTCAAGCGATTACAAATCCAAATGAAAGTCAAACGCTTGGCTCAGAAGAAAACTGTTCAACTCTCAATGAGCCGCAACTTCGAGTTAAGTCTTAAGTTAAGTACTTAACACACATGTACCTAGGCTTACATATGATAGAACACATGTGGCGCATACATTCAACTTTCCAAAAAAATTAATTCACCCCTTGATGCCTCGCTGGGGCTCGGGCCTTTGGCGAGGGACTTTGTTCAATTTGCCATTGATGATCCAGCTTTGATAAATCTGCATTGGCAAAGCATTTTCGATCAAGATTAGAAGTTAAATACCCTTTGCCAAATCAATTGAGCATTGTAACTTCTATCACCCAACTTTCCTGACAAAAATGCAGACATGTCTAAAGGAAACGGACTATGTATCCAATTTCAATCATGGTCTTTCATCCATTAAACTTTCAATCCCTTTTCATCTTACCATTGTTCAGTATAATCAGGTATCAAGTAATCACAATCAATCAACTTCAGAATATAAAATCAAAACAATCAGATCAAGATATAAAAGAAACAAAGAAACATAAAAATCAATCAAGTTTTTTTTTGAAAAAAATATATATATCCTTGTTTCATTCTTCATCTTCACTTTCACCAAGATCAAGTTCAGGAATCACACTATCATCATCCGAATCATCTTCATTACCATTGTCATTCCTTTTGATTTGTTTAATCTTACCTTGGTCATCTATAATGCTTCCAAGATCATCTGATTTTCTTTTGACATTCCCATTTCCAAATCTTTCAGTTAATTCAAATGGTTTGTTGATCAAACTTTCTTCTGCTATTGAATTATATTGAGTATTTGAAGAAGATGTTTGATTTTCATTTGTAGAAGGTATGATTGTTTCAGATTCTTCAGAGATCGTAACTTTCTCTGTACTAGCTTCAACTACCTCCATCGTCCCAGTCGCATAATCAGACTTCTTCTGTATCACATTGACCCGATCCAATGAATGTAAAGTCGAAGGTGCTACTGCTCGTTGAATGGGTGCAACAGATCTTGAAGTAACTTGCTGCTCACCCATACTATCATCTACACTACCATCCTCATCTTCATCTAATTCAACTTCTTCTTCTTCTCTCAATTGAGCTTGAGTAAGTGAAATAGGTGGAACACGTGGTCTAATTAAAAGTCCAATCTGATTTAAACCTTTTTTAGCCAATTCAATTAATTCATCAGTAGGATCATCACTACAAACCAATACTTGACTAAGGATACTTGTCATTGATTCTGAAAGGTTTAATCCTAATGAAGATTGACTTGAATTTCTTTGAATTGGTATACATCCTATCAAACATCGTAAGATCACTGGTCTAAGTTTTGGACATGATGCGAATGCGAAAGTAGGTGATGGAGCAAATGAATCGGATAAACTTGCTAGTGTTGTACTTGCATTGGCTGAGACTGAAGAGAGTGGCGAATAGAATGATGGATGTGAAGCAAGTGAAACTAAATGTCGGACCATGATACTTAAATATGGTGAAGGGAAAAAATGCGGGACACATGATAGTAAGATTTCAAGAGCTATAATCAAAGAGAAAAGAAGATTGAATCAGTCATCGTGTCCATAAACTTGAAATGAATCTTCATACGATTCATTGTTAGCCTGAACCTAATGAACTGGAAGACTGACTATTGAAGGCTCTGAGACCTAAAACTAAAGCAATTTGATCCACTACCATAGACCGACTCCAAGCCTGATCACTTTCATATTGTCTTGCCTTGTTTTTGGCCTTTCGATTCTTAGCTCCATCGGATTCGATAGCAGATGAAGCGTCACTTTCTCGACCGTTTATATTCTTGATATCGTTCAATATAGCTTTCAAAATCGGTTCCATGGTTGATTTAACGGTATCCGGATTTGGAGCACAGCTTGATAAGATCTTTGCATACGTTCTGTATAGTATTGATACGTCCAAGTTGTTTGCTTGAGATGCGCTAGCTATCGACGATGAAAGTAGTAAAAGAGTAGGAGTAGAAAATGGGATAAATGCAGTCGAGGTACTACATTGACGGATCATATGTGAACATCAAAGCCATATAATGAGTACACGCAGGAGAGATTCACTCACCATGCTGCTATTTGGCCTATTAACCGACAACCCAATGATTTCAATGACATTGCTGCTCCTGTACAATCCCATGCAGACTTCCAGCTGAGGTCGGGACGTCCCTTGACTTCCGCTTGAGCAACTGACAGCATCCGCCATGATAGCCTAGAGAGCTCTCCAATCGGTACCTGTACAGACCTTTCTGTGGGCTCTGACAGCATCACTATTAAAACTTTGATCAGGCATTCTACTCGTTTGATGAGAAACGTGATTTGATTGATAGGTAATTGATCCTGTTCCAAGTTGTTTCCACTTGTAGAATGAATGAGACTTTGTAAAGGAATATCAAGTGCTGCAAGACGTTGATTTTCGGACGTAGGTTCACCAAAAAGAGAAGTCTCTTTCCAGACGGGTGTTAGAAGAGTATCTAGTACAGTGTCAATCGTGCCAATTGTGCCCATAATAGTAGTAGACCAAGCTCCACCGGCTTCGACCTTGCCGCTTAATCGATAAAGCGAGGTAAGTAAGCTAATAGCATGATTTGAAACCATATCAACAGGGTGAAGTAATTGAGTGAGGCAAATTGATTGAAGTTGGGTTGCGACCGGTCTAAGAGTAGTCGAATAACGCGGTAGAAGAGTACCAAGTGCTTGAAGAGCAATTGATCGAGTCTGATGCACGCAGAGAGACAGAGGGGTTAGTTTGAAATTGACTGTGGGTAAATATTGGAATCACCACAAACTTCCAAATCTAATATCTCATCACCTGATAGGGCTATCAATGATTTGGTTAATCCCAGTAAGGCTTTCGAATCGCAATTCTCCCGAGAAAAGTCTGGCCATTGTGATCCATGCTCAAAAATATGAAGCGCTAGAGACACAACTGGTCTGATCGAACTTGCAGGTACGTTTTCAGTCGCACATCTCTGCGAGACAAAAAATTATAAAAAAATTGTCAATAATAAAACTGCAAAAAAGATACGCAAATTTGACTAACTCTAAGGATGGTAAGAACAGATGTCAGCCAAACGGAACCTTGAGTCAGAACTGCTGATTCGCATTGCTGAGATGTTGAAATAGCTAATCGTGCACCAAGGCTATAAGCCGAAGGTAATCTTGAATTCAAGAGAGATTTGACCCGAAGATGCCATCTAGATGATTGATGATGATCGGAATAATCGAAGACTTTAAGTACTTTTTCTACTATACTCTTTCGACCTGTAGAAAAGGTAAACTTACCGATTCAAAGCAGACAAAGTAGCCTGTGCTTCTTCCTTATCCTCTAGCGATGATCGTCTAATGATCTGAAATTGATCTACAACTGTGCAAACCAAGTCGCTAGATTGAACAGCAATAGGATCGGTTGCTAACCAGGTACTTAGTAGTAATGTGATGGATGCTCCAACTGAAGGTAAATTGGCTGTTGAGGTCATCGTGAAGTTTGAAGTTTGATGAAGAAATCTTGGAATTTTTGTAAATTTGACTTGTTCTGGATGTATGCGTCGTGGGTTTTGAGCTTGTGGTTTCAACGACCTCTCAAAACCCATAAAATACATACATTATCAACAGACAGAGCCCCCGCCTTCACACTGAGGGCGCAGAAAAAAAAACCCGCCAAACGGCGCGCCCAAAAAACTCAAAAAATTGGTCGGCGCGCCCAAATTGGGCAGGATATCCAAACCTAACAAACATGGCGAGGGGGGCTCTTTTAGGTTTGATTCTACCATCAGGTATGCCCCCAGGTTCAAGGATCATTCGTCCATATTCAACAGCGAGCTCATCTTTTTATCCGGGCAAAAATATGCCAAAAGTTCAGAAGACAAACAATAAACATTCTCACAAACAGAATGGTAAAGACTCACCTACTGAATGGATTCTACCGTCTTCAGGCTGCTCTGCTTGCTAGACTGGATTTCTCATGGCCAAACAGCGTGATCAATCAGTTGGACGATGTGCAGCAAAATGCACTTATTGTGATGATGTGATGGATGTGAAACCTCATAATTTACAGAAGCACATGATAAGCTTATGCAAATCACCGCCAACATTTTTACGTCGCATGCACGTATGCCAGTACACAAAGCTTTGATACCGGCGATAATTAATCGCATTTTGCCAAGGCAACAGAATAAACATGTGATTTTATATAGCTTGTTGATTAAGCAATGAAATGGATTTTGCGATGTTATGTCACATGGCTGAATGCAATGGAACCGCTCAGCAACTTTAAATTGCACGACAAGCTCAGCCATTCAATTACTTTGTGACCTAACATTGCTCATGTGACTGTGCAACACAAACCCTCATGCGAGCAAATTCTTTAGATCACATTGAAATTGAGCGATAAAAGGTTTCAGTGGCTTTGTTAACATGCGAGTGAATCCTTTCAATCGCGTGGAACTATTCAATCCAAATGTATGTACAATTGCTTTGTTGGCAAGAGATTCAAATGATTTCTTGATAAGTTTCTTTGTTTTATCTTATCAATCATTCTGTCTTCCTAAAATCCTCCAAGCCCAACCAGTTCCTGAGGCTGAAGCCATCTCAAAGGTTGGCACACTAAACACATCTCATATTCAAAATCTGTAAGTGTGTTCAATGAAGGTCATGTCTAAGATGAAGCTAACTTTCATCGTTTTTTTTGGTTGGGAACAAGTGTAAATCCAATTATGTACCATTTGGATATTGGTAGGAACACTGCAAAGAAAGATCATCTCACAGATGGTTGTCACACAAACCATGACCTGACAAAGAGACAGGTAAAGTGCTTCCCTTGTGTTCCAACAATGTAGAATGAGCCCCATATGTACTTAACAAGACTGGTCACTTTAGGTCGTTCCTCAAAATAAGCCCAACACATTGTTAACCGCTTGATTGAACAAAGACACGACTCAATCCCACCAGAATTCAACCAATTACTCGGTCTGCCAAGGTCTGCCATATAATTAATCTATCTCAGTAATTGACCGTGGTCTCACAGATATCCAACAAATAGGGCACTTTCAAACAAGAGGAACAGAAGTCATCATTCTCATTATTGTCATTTATTGTCATTGTCCTATTCATCAGGATATCAAAACTGATCCAAGAACTATTGGGAGTCTATCAGGATGGCAAGAAAATCAATCAATCAACTTCTCTATTGCTTTGCCCAATTACTTCTTCAGCAGCAAATATCAATTGGCAAATTTGTCAGACCACTTGGCCAAAACCTTCTTCAAGCACTCAAATCACTTTGTTAAAGAAATAAACTCATGTTTTGACACTTTTCTTGTAAAAAAAGCTTGGATGAATTGTTTTAAGAAGTCAAGATGATGTTCAAAAAATTGGATAAGCTACAATGAGCCCATCTTGAAATAAATTTGATCATTTAATCAGTTTACTTGAAAGTTATCATAGCAAACTGGAAATCACTTTGTACATTAACTGTTTAAATTGAGAAAAAGTATTCATCTCTTTTCAATAAGTATATAGCAATACTTACTGCTGTCAAAAAGGTCATTGCTGAGTTTTGAATCACATGTAATCCAAACTTCAAAATATTTTAAATTGATAATCACATAACCACTCAAAAGTTAACATAAGTAACCAAACAAAACCCGATAAGAAACAATGATAATCATTTCACAATCAACAAATATACAAAATATCAAAAAAACTAAGAACATTTTCTTTTGGTGTCCAAGAAGTAGATTCAGTTGTAGTAGATGAACAAAGACTTGAATCAACATGATTTTCAGTATGAATTTCAACATTTAAAGTTAGAAAATTAGATTCTGTAGGTAATGGTACCAATTTTTGTTCCTCAAGAACATTTGAAGTTTGCAAACAGATAATAGAAGAGTTTGGCATTTTGAATTATTCTTTGATAATCATGGAAGTAGATTGTTCCTTGGTTTGATCAACTAAAAGTACATTACTTATATTTAGATTGCCATCTGGTTCAGGTTTCCCAAGAAGAGGTGATCCTTGACAAGGAGAGAGAATAGATGAGTCTGGTAGTTTTCCCAGAGAGATTACCTAAATCAATGGTTTCATGTGGTGGCATGCGGGGTGAGATGATTGTTGAAATTTGAATCACACAGGGTTGTAGAGCTGCTTGAGGAGGTGTTGGTAAAATGTCAGTGACAATAGATTGCTCATTTGAGATCCTTGAATCAAGCTGTTGATGAGTTTCACTTTCAACAGGATTGCTCATCACTCTACCTCACATCTTAGACAATTTCCCTTTGTACCCATGACTCTGCTTGAAGCTAGAATAAGGGGGTTGGAAAGGGGGTACAAAATACCTGCTCAGCGCTGTGGAAATCACAAGAGGTTACTTGGCGATATGACTTTTCCATCCACTGAATTCCTTAATTGGGTGTTACTGTAGCCTCACTACCACAAGGGGTTAACAGTACCTGAGCAAGGAATATTAACACTCTAGAATCAAGAGTGTTGAAAGATGCTTGATAGCTGCTCTTTCTGATACAATAGTATATAAGAAAGAGAAATGGTGAAAGAACTTGTTAAAAAAAGTCTGATACAAATATATCCCAAGTTGTACCTAATAGGTACTTGATCAATAACTAGAGCACAATAAACTCAACACTCAAGAAGTTGTATTCCCTTCTTGTTATGCAACTTGATAATATTGTAAAAAAAGAAAAGCTACACTGAATAAAATTAATATCTTGCTTGGTGAGGGGGCTGATTTAAAGTGACCAAAGACTAAGTAATAATATGAAAATTTGATTATAAAAATTATTCACTGTCAGAGATGAGAAAATGAAAGAAAGGGATGTACATAGTTGATTGCTCCCTGTGCAGTGGCTGATACAACTTTTGCTCTCAGGTAAAGCCACAGACCAGCTTCAAGAAAGATGGAGATGTCCAAATGGTGAAGCTTAAATTTCAGAAGACAGCTTCAGATGATTATACAAACCATTCTAGTTCACATTAAAGTTCTGGATGACTGATCAAGTTTCTGGTCACACTGAAGAACCAGTTCAACAATTCAATATTACCTTGTCTCCCACCCCATTTATCTTGTGCCTATTCCAAACTTTGTCTTCAAATACCAATTTGGTAAGAATAACAGGCAAAAAAGGGATGTTGATCTTGCAGAGCAAGAAGAATTGCTTAGGGGTGTTGATGGTGAAAAAGATGATTTGAAAAGCATCTACTGTAGTTGTCTTTCTTGATCCTTGTCTTGTAAGTCTATCAGTTCTCAATTGCCATCATTTTTATCACAACTTATACATGGTTCACCACTCATTAGAACTTTGATATCATGATGAATGTCTTGTTTTTTCATCAAAGTCTCAATTTCTTAGTTCCTTATTATGACTTGAGATTTGACCTGTTGCAATTTGAATGCATCTGTTTAGAAGCAAAAACCATTATCAGTGTAGATCAAAACACACCCTACAACTTTGTTAACACTCTTTGATGTGGGTATATCAACAAAGCACAGGTTTCATTGACCTTTACCCCTTCAGATACTAGTGATCCGGTCTAGTTGAGATCTCATGGATTGCAATTTCAAAACCTGATCCAATACGTGGACAGGAATCGAGCTTAGGTTGATCGCTCGGGAAGAGACACGAGTATTCTGATTTTGTGCATCAGGATTAGGTCGATTGATGTGATGGAGGTTATGTCGATTGGATCCAAATGGAATATCTGACGTTGACTTTGCTAAGGAATTAGGCAAGGATGGAACCAATTGTGAGGAGGCAAGTGGAATGCGAGTACAAGAAGAGAAGTGGGGTATAGGGGATGGGGCTGCAGTCGATCTACCTTTGTCTGGAGCTTAGGGCGACTAGGTCCAAAATTCAATTCATCGTGTATTACATCTTCAATCGATCACAACTTGCTTGTACTAGGGAAAAGTCCTTCGCGGGGGGGCGCGGTGAGGACGGATGGCTCTGAAAGAAGAGGCACGAGTTCCAACACTTCTTGACCAAAGAATCTAGAAGAACAAGACGGGGATAACGGATGTGTTTGTGAGTCTGATGACAATGCGACCAATAAAGGTATGGCAGCTGAAGAGCTTGAGATTGAGATTGACAGAGTCATAGGTGTGTGTGTTAAAGGAGCTCCAGAAGTGTAGTCAATCGGGGTTGTTCCTGAATTATGAATGGAAGACGAGGGTGATTGATAATCATGATCATTCTTTCCAAAGGTGCTGTAAGTTTTGATCTTTGTATTGGATTCTTTTGATATGCGGGTCTTCTTAATTGTTAATGATTGAGAGTAAAGGGTTGGAAAAAATGATAGATTGAACTTTGTTAGACGCGCAACGACATATTGCAAATGATCAAGTGTACTGTGTTTGAAGCAGATGAGAGGTCTGAAAGGGAGGATTGAGGATACCATAAAGTCTATTGAAAAGATATGACATCAATGATTGAATCCTTTTGCTCGACTAAAAGCCATTTAAAGGTTA